ATAGTAGAATTGAAAAAGAATGCTTTAAACTCTTGTCAACCGCCTTAAGTGAATCACAAAGAACAGAAAAGCCAATCGTCTCGATTCCATCTTTCTCTCTGATATGTTATGTTTAGCTCACCCTCACTCTGATCCCCTTGCATAAAACCAGGAAAACATGAAAGAACTCTCGTTGTACGAGCACGTAACAGATGTTTGAACGAGGAAATTAAATGTTCTTTTCAATTTCATATTTTTTATGCCCTTTCCCTTCACCCTAAAAGAACACGCCCCAGTGCTGCCTTTCCTGAGCTCTGTTTACTGGGCCACTATAAACACATCAAATGATTGGGCTAATATGGCTATGGGCAAAGGCCCATAGCTGCTTTTATTTAAACATCAAATATTGTTAACAATCTTCCATAAGAAGTTTGGCCCAGTAAAGGTGAGGGCACTAAAAACGCAGACACTAAAACATACTTGAAAGAAAACCGTGGATAGGACCTGGGGAGGAGGAGGGAGTATGAAAACACGTCTTGTACCGCAGATTAACAGGGACTCAATGACAAGCACATGGCTTGGAAGGTCATGTGATCTACGCGAAACCCTTATAGGGGGTCGACTACATTGTGCCAATATCTCCCCTGCTGTTCCCAGGCCCTCTCCGAATTACTTAATACACAAGCAGAGAAAGGACATAAAAATCCTATTCCCGGGGAAATATTTGATTAATGCCCTTTCCCTTCACCCTAAAAGAACACACCCCAGTGCTGCCTTGCCTGAGCTCTGTTTACATGGTTTAGAAGGTCATGTGATCTACGCGAAACCCTTATAGGGGGTCGACTGCATTGTGCCAATATCTCCCCTGTCGTTCCCAGGCCCTCTCCGAATTACTTAATACACAAGCAGAGAAAGGACATAAAAATCCTATTTCCGGGGAAATATTTGATTTATCTTCCGCCACGGAACTCTGTTACTTGCAGCAATCAGTGATATTATTTGTTTTTCCTACTGTTATGAAAAATAGTTATAGCAGCGGAGCTGAAAAGAGGCTTTCAGTAGATGACAATTCGTTTGGAATGGCGTACTCTGAATAGAAAATGTGATTTGCATTATGCAAGAAAATTGTTTTCTAGTCTCTTAATCTTCTTTCTTATAGCAATTGCTTTGAGGGATGTCTATTTCTTGCATTTTAATTCAAAATATGCCACAATATATCTCTTCTTTCCTCCCATGGATGTCAGAGAGATTCCACTAATTATAACTTCTACGAAGCTGATATTTTTGCAATTTGTAGAGGTCCGCTGTTACGAATATGACGCAAAGGCCTCATTAAATTAGTTCTTAATAAAGAATTGGTTCCATGCTTAGCGTGCGTATATCGAGTTATGGATGCACGCGGAAACTTCCCAACTGCATCCATAACTCTATATACGCACTGCTTAAAGCATGAACCACTTCTTTTATAACATGGCGACAACATCTGGGGCGCTAAAACATGTTTTAATTTGTGATTGACTACAAAGTTCTCACAATGCACGGTGAAGGAAAACAAAGGTCACCAGGATCCTAACACGCCACAATCAGTTGAGCAACAGTTGAACGAAAACGCTTTACCAGGTTTCTAAAATTGTCAATGAAAAATCCGCTTCTTCGAATTAATTAACAGTTATTCGCCGAAGGCGAGGTGAACATTGGTGAACATTCACCAATGTCCACCGAGCCTGGACGAATCATTGTTTTAGTATAATTTTCAGAGGTGAAACACAGAATAACGACTAAAACAGACTGTTCGTTTGAATACACGCATGCAGCCGTAGTTTTAATAATAAGCCTACAAGTAAGCTTACATCGATTATGAATCAATTTACACATCAAGTTCAGTAAGACAAACAAGCGAACCACTACAAAAAAATAAATTCATCCCATGCCTTTGTTTTGTCGTTGTTGACCTCATTCAGAGCTGTCATCATCGTCTAAAAATGAGTAGCTTTAGTTTGAAGAAAAATAAATGTCGGTCATTCGATCTGACCTGCTAGCGATCAACGTAACCCGGCACTGCGTTTGCGATTCTAAAGTTCATTGAATACGAGTTCTTGAAAGGATTTTTGGTCCAAGGGCGACAGCAGTCATTTTGAAAATGATCCATCTTTCTAAATATCCTGGACTTGGAGTGATGTCTTTCGAATAAATAAATATTTGATTCAGCAACTGTCCGCCATGTTTACTTGCCGAGACGGCAAAGGTGGCGAGCTTAGCAACCAGACCTCAAAAATGTTGTAGCGTCGTCTTTTAATTAGCTCTTATTAACCGAGCGGGAGGTCTGTATGGAAGAATCTTGACCGAGGTCGTGAGTACAGACCGAACGCAGTTAGGTCTGTACACACGACCGAAGTCAAGATTCTCCCATACAGACCGCCTTAGCTCGGTTAATAAGATGTTTATTATATGGCAAAGAAGAAAACTTTAATTTGTTTAATGTAACTGGTTTGCTGACATTTTGCTTGTGAACGGCGATGAGCTTAACTTAAACCTGCCGAAATTTTCTCCTCCTCTTTACTTTTCTTTTTTGTCATCAGGCTTTTTGGCACTTCCATAAATGATTGAGAAGAAAATAAAAGAAAATGGTAAACATTTTTGTATGTTTAGTTTGCTACTTTTTCAACGCAAAATGAAACCGGTCTAGATGGCGGTCTAGATGGGAAAATCTAGACCGCGGTCAATATCGATTTCAGCCAGTCAAATTCGTGAATTCGGTAGTTCCCAGTCCTGGTGAGACATAGCCATATAATAATGAGCCTTATCGATTCCTTTCCCGCTGAACACCGCGCCTTTACTAAATCTATTACTGATCCCTCGCGGGCTGCAGAGATTCCAAATGATCCCAAAATTAGACTGGGAAACGAAATCTTTCTTCTTTCCACACACTGCAAAAAGAAAACTAACAGATAAATACCCTGATACAAACGTGGAATGGGATAAGGTTTACTCTTTACCCTTCTGTTCAACTCTAGAATCGAAGACTAGTGGGTTTCAAAACAAAATTCTTGAATGGCACTGTCTATACAAAAGAGAAACTTTATCGTTTTGGCTTAGTTGGCTCCCCTAGTTGCACCTTTTGTTAGGAAACAGCAGAATCCATCGAGCGTTTACTCTTTTACTGCAAAATATCCTCTAAATTTTGGGAACATGTCTTATCCTGGCTTAAAGACAATGGTAATTATATTGAAACATTGAAGGAGTGAGACATAATTTTTGGGAAGGTCGACATGAAAGACAATTTTACTTTAATAAACCATTTATCATTGTTAGGGAAATATTATATTTACTCTAAAAAGTGCCAAAATAGTCTACCCACGGCTCATGGTTTTATTGCTCGGATTAAATTGATTTACAGAATTGAACTCCAAATTTCCAGAGGAAAAAATGAGCTTTCACAACATTTTATTAAATGGAGAAAACTTGTTGAAGTACTGACCAAGGAAGAGATGGTGGTGGAAAGGATACGAAAAATACAAATAGGTAAATAAACAAGTATGTGTCTGTTTATGTTTCTTTAGTAGCTTCTAATATGTCCTGTCTAATTGTGTGTACCGTTAAATTCCTTAATTTTGATAATTATCATTTTCAAATAATACTCTCATCTTAATGTAGTGTGGTGTAAGTAGAGTATTGTAATTTCGTAGTTTGTTGTAAGAATTAGTTTTTCTGTAAGTAGTTTATTGTAGATAATGTACAGTGATTAGTTTACTCTAAGTATTACATGTATACATTAATAAGTAATTTATTCTATGTAACGTACCGTAAGTAGTTTATTGTAATGAACGTATTGCAGGTAAGTGAGACAGTAAGACAGTGGTTTCCTGGCATGGGTTACTATCGTCGTTATATCCCAAATTTCGCCCCAAGAATTCCAAAAGAGGGCCCCCGGGCATAAATAATGGCCAGCTACCATCTGGAACACACATTAGGTGACTGAAACACAGTGGCACCGATTATGGCCAATTAATTAAGTCGGAACCAAAGCTGAAGGCTTAAAAGCAGTTTTACAAGACCTAAAAATATAGTGCCGCTATAATATGTCAAAAGCTTTTTTTGAAATCAATAAAAAATCAGAATTCCTGGATGTTCTCTTTATCTGTGATCTCTATTTTATCCAAAATCGACCTAACCGTCTCAACATAGCCCGTTTTGATTGTGATGGATAGCGCTTGGCAAAACAGGTTTTACTCTAATTGCAATTACTTTTGAAATTATTTCGCGTCAACATTTAATGGGGGAGATCATTCGCCAATTTCCCTTAAGAGTTCGTTCGTTACCTTGTGTTGCAGTCAAAGTGATAACTGGTTTCTTGGGAGGGCTGGACATTTCTCCATATTTAAATGACCACTGTTGTACATTCTATAAAAGCGTGACCGACACAGTCCCAACAGGTTTTATAAAATTCAATTGGTATTCCATTATTACAAGATGATTTGTCATACGTTCACAAGATTGCTTTTGTTGTTCAGATAACTTAGGAATGTTCAAGTTTCTTAAAAACGTTTCGCCAGTTTTGCAGCCATTGTCGGTAGACTCTTGATTTATAAAGGTCGTGATGAAAACTTTTCGGTTCATCAAGTATTTTAAAGGGATTAGTTGTAATAGCACCACTAACGAGTAACCTTCTAATGTAGCCGGCTGTGCTATATTTGTACGTGCCCGTGGGGTGGGTCAGAGAACAAACAATGAGTAAGTATTTTTATAATCATTTTTATTAAGAAGTTCCCTTGTGATATACAGATCATTTATCTCCATATGGAGCCTGGATCAGTTATAGGGACAACAAAAAAGACAACTCGGCTCAAAAGCGTTTTCAGATACAATCTACAAATTCATTCCTACACAGATTAACTAGTTCCTCCAAAAGCTATAAAGATGCAGCCGCTAGTGTTCTCAGCTTTTAAACTCCTACAATCAGCAAATGAAACAAAACTGTTCAGAGCTCTGAACTGTCACAACCTTGGAGTACTTTCGCTTTACTAGCAAGGAGGGTCGTAGTTGACAATATCGTATTTATCAGGAAAAACCACATTTACGGTCAACTTAACAATATTCCAGAATCCCTGCAAATCTTTCACTCTAAACAGGAAATTGTCTGGCGGATGGGAGGCAACCTGGACGATTTCGTCTATTCCGTGAATGTGATGTCCAACAGCAACCACATAGATTTCAACGCCACTCCTTTTCAGGGCATTGGCACTTCGTATGGTCGAGTCTTTGTGGTTTGATTGACCATCAGTGACAAGGAAAACTAGACTTCTTGATGGGAACTGACGGCGACCTTTGACAAGAAAAATTAAACAAAAAAGGATTTACTACAGACACATGCAACCATGTAATACTAAAGGAATGCAAACCACAACAAGTATTTGATTTCAGTTCAGAAAAGAGTAGAGCAAACATTTTAACTAAGTTTCAAATTGCTTTTGCGCTGCTTTTAAACAATCTTGTTAATCCACTAATTCTTATCTCTCTTGAGTATTAATGACAGTTTCATAGTTTCTTATAAAAAAAAAACGATTTCGAAAAACATTTAAGCAGGAAAATTAACGTAAGTAAGTAAGTACGTAAGTAAGTAAGTAAGTAAGTAAGTAAGTAAGTAAGTAAGTAAAGTTACATGGCGTTTCGACGACTTCATGTCATCATTGTCATCATTGTCGAATGCATAAATTAAAAATAACGGCAAGGCATATTTATAGTAGTTAGGATGTGAGAAAATGAAATTAGCAAACGTAACATGGAAACATTCATGTAAAGAGTTTCGCGCGAATGGAATCCGCTTGCGCGTTTAGTTTGGATCTTTTGTTCAAAGATTGCCACCGCATTTCTCGAGGACTTTAAAGTTCTTGATTATCTTGTCAGGTGATAAGGCATGCTCAACCCTGAAATGTTTTCCGATCACGGAATGTTTATGTTCTTCTACGCGTTGATGGAGGTGGCGGCAAGTGTACCCAATATAATTTGCACCGCACAAATCACATGTGAGTTCTTCTACTACACTTTGCTGGTTTATCAGGGTAGGCGTTTCTTCCGTTACTCTCAGATGATCAGCGATCTTTTTGTTTGTGAACACTGACTGCAGTTGCTGATTAATTTTCGGTCGCCAAGTTGTCTGCAAACCGCGTCAGAAACCTTCTCGAAAACCTAAAGAATAAAAAGTAGAAAAATATTGCAAAGAGTACCTGAGCTAGGGTCGTCAAACAGTTTCTTTGCTTCTGCCAGTGCTTCTTGGGTGTTGGTCCCGCCTCCTGGATAAGATATCGTAGTTATTTCGCTCGCTGCTGATGAGTGTGGTAAAAACTTGAAGTTGACGGTTGCTGTGGATGAAAAGGTAACCGCCGCGTACTTCGAGTCATGCGTAGGATTATGCAGTGTTTTAATCATGTGTTTAAGTGCTTCTTTTCCTTTCTTGAATTCGCAAGAGCCAATCGACCCAGAGCCATCCATAACTATCACAATATCTTCGATAACCGTTTGTCGTTTGGTAATATGTGAATAGCCCAGAAAGTTGGTCATGAGCTTCTTTGCAGTCACCTCGGGCGCGGGAACAGTTTTAAAAACTGCAATTAAAAGAAGGAAGGATTATTCTCTGAAATGAAATGACCAGTGTGATCGTCACAGAACATTTTTTGCGCTCTCTCCTCCGCAGAGCAGAGGGATTTCTTCGGGTGGGAAAAATCTACTGAGTGATGCGACTGAAGATGTAAAATAAGGCGGAAAATGGAGAAAGCTTTTCGTGAACAGCAGAATTAAAACTTTTGAGCTCAGAATAAGAAAATTTTTTGAAAAAGATAAATATTAATAGATCGTTTTCACCGTCACGCAAAACAAAAAAAAAATCGAAAACCATTCACTTGATAAAAACAAGAAATTGTGATGTTATGGAGATAACAAAAATAAGACACCTCTCCCTGTTTTAGGTCTGTGCGTTTTCCCAAAGTTCAGATTTTCGTCGAAATGTTTTACAGAAATTTACAGAGCTCAGTATAGAGCCGCCATGCTGGTGTGCCTCCATGGTACACCAATATAGCGGCCTGGAAATAGTGTAAACATCTGAAACTCACTTTATGGGTCTTGAAGTTATGTTTTGAAGGCATGAAAGTTTTTGGCTTTTTTTCTTTCCGGCGATCTCAAGAACGAGACTATTTTCTTAAGGTCACTCCTATTATTCTTCAGAAACCTAAAAAAGCTGATTGAAAATGCCTGGTATACACCAGAAAAAAAATGTATCGAGGCACCTTAAACTTTATAAGAAACCTTCGATTAAACTAATTTTTGTAAAATGTATTTAGGTCGCAAAGGGAATCAAAAATTTACTACATAGAAACTTAAATTCAAAATACAAATTTTTTCACGTGACATCATCAAGTTCTAAAATCCAAAACTAAAGAGCCACCACAATTCTTATCCTCATCATTTTTAGGGGGTTCTAAAGTTATACATGTTTAAAACGTTTCAGCTCAATAGTGTGCTTCGTTTGGAAACCAGCGCATTGTGAATTTCGGAGTTATAGCGGTGCGTGACATAAAGCTATAATCGCGTTTGTCGAAAAATATTTACTTATCGCCTCGTGATTTGTTGCCATTTTAGAAGTTAAAGTATTAGAAAAAGTGCTTATGTAAATGTGTGTTTGTTCAGTACAGATAATCGGTCGCCTAGATAGCCAAATGTGGTATTATTTGGAGCAATTTCATCAAAGTAATGTTCAACAGCCAGTTCATTTACTGTTATGACGCAAACAGTTTAATCTGAAATATTTCCACGATCTTCTCGAGATCAAACATACAGAATGTTTTTTTTAGTAGTTTTATATATTCTACTCGCTATAAACCATACTTTAAGGCATTGGTATTAGCTTTTTCATATCACATCTGGTTCGCGCAAAATTCGTGTTTTACTGATTTTCCGTTTTTTTGGTTTATCTTTGCCATAGAATTATCGATTAACTTGAGAAATACATGATACCAAACTTCGATCCATTTTCAGTTACGGGTGTCATTGTCATATCGATCCAATTAAGGGAAGAGTGTTAAAACGCTGACTGAAAATGTATGGTATGGTTCAGAAAAAAATTGTACCGAGGCACCTTAAATCAAGATATAAAATTCAATTGATGACAAGCGATATTATGTTGTTGCCGTTAATACGAGCGAACCATTGAGCTAAGTTCTTAAGTTCTTGCAGCCAGCTAAGAACAATCAATTAACCGATTGTTGTCGATATTTTAAAAAACGTGAAATATCTTACCCTGATAATAAGAATCGTTTGGATCGCTTGGGTAAGTTGGCAGAGACGGTCGCCAGAAAAGTGCAGAACTTGGTCCTGTTAGGATCACAAGCAGGCACATCATGGAGGCAAAGTGGATAACCAATCCTGACATCTTCAAATCTTGATCAGTGCTCTCGGCTCTTAATCTTCTGGGTTTGAAATCGTTAGAAAATGCATTCATTTTATAGATAAATTTACTTCCTCGTGAACGGTCTATTTCTGGTACAGCTTAACAGCTTATTTCCAACTTTCAGATGAGAAGGAAGAACATTGCTGTTTGCATTGTTGCACCACGAAATTAAGTGAATCACAAAGAAATGAAACGCCAGTGCAGCATTCCTTTCTAACATGTCATGTTTGAGCTCACCCTCACTTTGACCCCCTTTCATAAAAATGAGAAAACATAAAAGAGCTTTCATTGTACGTGCACCGGCATAACAGTCTTTCAGTTTGCGAGGAAATATTGTTTCCATTTCTTTTGTATTTTGCTTTACGGGAGTCTGTTGTTTCTAAGGACATATACGTGTAGTATTCAGTTTTGTTATTGAAAAAGGCTTTTATGTATCTTGTTCCGCGCACTTAGATACAACATAGACATAACTCATGTGGGTGCTGCTTTGGCTAAACTCTGTCTGCTGAGTAGTAAAACTCAACACTCCCAATTGGGATATCTTGCCCACAGATGTAGCCGTTTATTTTGATAGCAAGCTTAGAAAGCTTAAATTACGAACATACCAAACTATTACCTCAGCAAACGCGAGAGAGAAACCGCCAACTAATGTAGAAAAGAGAGAATAGGGGGTGTACATGTGGAGAGAGGGAAAATTCCCTTCACTTGCTGAGAATGCTGCAGTCCTATTAATGTTCTCCCTTGTAGTACAGGAGCTGCCGAAATAATAAGCAATGTCGGTTTACTACATTTTGATAATATACCGTAATAATTCGCTTTCTTTCTTCCATGGATATCATGTTGTCTTAGTTTATCTTTTACAGAGATTCCTCTGGCTTCTACAAAGCTATATTGCAAATTGTCGAAGAGATCAATTTTTGCGACGCCTCGTTAACTCTGCTCCTGCATCAATTTGATTGAGCGCTTTGTCTCTTACCAACGTCTCGAGTGCTATGTTTAGCTTTACCCCCCATGGTTTGTTCTGCTGTTGATGGAAATTAATTCTCATGTGAGATGACGCGATCGTCGGTAATTTTCTGATTGTAGACGTCCCTTAGGTAGAGAATTAGCGATGCTGCGCAATGTTACTTCATTTATGCAGGTGAACTATTGCAGCCTCGTTAAGTTGTTCAATGGATTGGAACTTATAGCTCTCCAGTTTGTCACCAACGTTTTTTACAAAGGCTCTATTTTCTATATAGCCCGCGTTAACTCGGCTTGTACCTGGCCAAGAGATATATTAAATATCTGTAAAATGTTTATCCTCCTCCTCTAATCGGTTAATTTCCGGCTAATAAACAGAACAGATTTGTTTCATTCTTATTCGAGTTCGTTGAACGTGAATTAGATCGACGAATTCATAATACCACGAAATTTCATGAAAACAAACCTCGCACTAGGTGGCCCCAAATGGGACAATTGACTTTTTTGTTGTTTTGGTCTGGAGATCAAAACATTCCCAAAAGTGGAAATCAGTGTAGAGAAATCAATTTTTGTGTAACGTTCTATTTCTGGCACAGCTTGGCAGTTAATTTGCAACTACATGTTTCAGCTAAAAAGGAAGACCAGTTTTTCATGATCTCAGCTTCCTTTCTAATATGTTATGTTTGAACTCGCCTCCACTTTTACCATTCTCAGCGGTAAACTTTGTGAATTTACAATCACAACGAATTGGAACCATTTAATAGAAATAAACTTCCTTGTGTGTTTCGTACAGCTTTGTAGCCTATTGTAGCCTTTCAGCCGAGAAGGAAGGACATGTTTATACCACATGTTTGAATTAATTGAATTAATTGCAATAATAAGGTTACTCACAACTATTTCCAACATTTTTCAGCTTTTTCTTTGATGAATCAATACTACCACTCTTTTTCAGTAGAAGGATGCTATTTAGGCTCGATTTCCAGCCGTTTTGTGAGCTCCCTTCCTTGCCCCACACCACGTTGGGAGGAGGATAAGACAACCGGACTCCCAAAACGGCTGGAAATCGAGCCTAGATGCTATTATAATAGTTAATAATAAATGCCCAATCATTGTTTAAGTAATTATGACCATTTTCTTCTCCCAAAGATTACCAACAGCATAATCTGCTTCTAACTCAAAAACGAGTACGGTGACCCATACAATTTATAATTAAACTGTACTACGGATGCTAAAAAATACAAATGTTTCAAAGTTTTAGAAAAACATAGGAAATATAGGAAGGGTTTCAGAGCTAGTTTAATTTTTTCCATAATTAAAAGGTGACTCTGAACTGCACCCACAATTTTTTACACCTTTTTTAAGTTGAATCTTGACATGCCAGTGATTCAATAAAAAAAAAAAAAAATGGGAATCGTTTTGAAATTACACGTACTTAATAAAATTATGGGGTTGTTAACTGACCATGCTGTTGCATGATAACTTTTAATGTGACGAAAATGTTCATACCCTTGTTGACCAATGTTTGGCCATTTTATGTTGCCTTTATTAAAGCATTGCTGGAAACAAAATTGTAAGATTCATCTATCATAGTAGAATTGAAAAAGAATGCTTTAAACTCTTGTTAGCCGCCTTAAGTGAATCACAAAGAACAGAAAAGTCAATCGTCTCGATTCCATCTTTCTCTCTGATATGTTATGTTTAGCTCACCCTCACTTTGACCCCCTTGCATAAAACCAGCAAAACATGAAAGAACTCTCGTTGTACGAGCACGTAACAGATGTTTGAACGAGGAAATTAACTGTTCTTTTCAATTTCATATTTTTTATCTTCCGCCACCGCACTCCGTTGTTTGCAGTAATTGATATTATTTGTTTTTCCCACTGTTATGAAAAATAGCTGTAGCAGAGCTGTAAAGAGGCTTTCAGTAGATGACAATTCGTTTCGAATGGCGTTTGAACCCACTGTGATCATGAACCGTGGTACTCGGAATAGAAAATGTTATTCGCATTATGCAAGAAAATTGTTTTCTAGTCTCTTAATCTTCTTTCTTATAGCAATTTCTTTGAGGGATGTCTATTTCTTGCATTTTAGTTCAAAATATGCCACAATGTAGCTCTTCTTTCCTTCCATGGATGTCACAGAGATTCCACTAACTTCTACGAAGTTATTTTTGCAATTTGTAGAGGTCCGCTGTTACGAATATGACGCAAAGGCCTCATTAAATTAGTTCTTAATAAAGAATTGGTTTCATACTTAGCGTGCGTATATCGAGTTATGGATGCACGCGGGAAGTTTGGAGAGCACAAAAGAAGCTTGAGTGCTCTCCAAACTTCCAGAGTGCATCCATAACTCTCTATACGCACAGCTTAAGGTATCAGTATAACCCATTTGACCATCCGCGCGC